TTCATAAATTCATTTTGCAAGATAGAACTATAACTAAGTTGAAACTGAAACAGAATCTATAAAATTGAGTACAGTATCTTTTGTTTAAGAACCGCTATTTCAGATAGTCACCTATTTCAGATCACCTTCAGGTGATCCACTATCCATTCTTACATACTTCGCCTCATACATTGGAGCTTTAGAACTGATGTTGACATACCCAGTCTCAACTCTTTAATGCAGGTCACCCAGGCATTCCTATTAGCAACAACATTTTATTTTTCTAATTTCTACACTAAAAACCTATATTGTTTGTCCCAGACCAAAACCCTCACATTGGACTAACTGGGTAATCATTCAAGAAAGGATGTATATTTTTCAAAATGAAGTTTTCGAAGAGATTTAACTTATGCTAGCCATTCCATTTCTTTGAGCCCTTGTAAAACAGGTCATAGCACTGGCCTGCTATGAAAATCCTGTTATTATCTGACATTTTAATGTACAATTGCAAACATATTTCCTAGCAAAATAAAAACTATCTCTTGAAAAACAGGACACAGTTTTCAAACCCACTGAGTAATGTTTTCCTATCTGTACATTGGGATCCATATACAAATCATGAAATCTACTTAATGGGTTGCACTGTCTTAACAATATGATTTTTCTTTTAAAAAAGAAATGTGTTGCCATCAAGTTTGAACCGGCTAACACTTGACCGACCCTCAAGTTGGTTTTTAGAGGCTGTAAATCACCCGAGGAGATTGTCCATCTTTCTCTACCCTTTTTGTTCAAACCCTCTTTCAGTTGGGACATTTCAGAAAATACCTTTAACTTTTTACATAGAAAAGTGTACTCGGGCAGAATAAGAAGAACCATGATGTTTGAGAAACATTGCTCTAAAAGTATGATTTTCAAACAATTTTCTGAAGAATGTTTTCCAATTACACACCATTTCCACCACATGCTTCAATTAATATTGCCAAACAGACTGAATATAGATGCTGATAAGAGAATTTGGCTTTTTTTTTTTAAATGAAACTTTTTTAAAAAATTTAGTTTGTATATTTTTCATTTCAATGAACATCTACAGAGATTTTGGAATTCCATTCATTCATTGTTGCACCCTTCTCCCCGCACAAACCCCTCC